CTATCTGGAAAAAAACCAATGTAACCAGTTTTTGGTATCCTTCCAGAGATTTTTTTTTTTTGAGTACTGATAATCAAATACTTGACTATATTCTTTTTTCTTCTTTGAAACATACCCTTGTCCACATATTGCTACAAATAAAAGCTAATATCTTCCTGACCTCAACTTCTTCCCAAATTATAGGAAATTTGATTGAAGTTAAAATATTAAACATAAATGGATATGGTAATAATTAATTTTTTCTTATACTATTTAGCCTTCCTAACTAGGAAAATAGTATATATTTTCATAAATTCTATTCTTATATATCTTGCAATAAAGTCACATAGTTTCCTTCACTTGAATTATGAATATTTTAGAGGGGTATATTCCTATGTATTTTGTATTTTCATTGCAATGGGTTATTTTTCTCCTTATATTATTTAATGTAGACTGTGTACTTTTATACTTACTTTTAAATTCCAACTTTGTTAATTGTTTTAATCATATTGCATTAATTCTTTTGTTGACTCCCTTGTGCTGCCTGATGGGTAATTACCATGAATCTCCTGATCCTTATGGGATTCATTCTAAGACTCCAACGGGTTGCTGAAACCACAGACAATACCAAACCCTACCTGTACTGTTTCTTCCTGTACATAGATATCTAGAGTAAAGTTTCATTTGAAGGATTAGACACAGCAAGAGATTACCAACGGTAAATGATAATAACATGGAACAATTATGGCCATATACTTTAATTAAAGTTACATGAATGTGGTCTATCCTTCTCACATGCACACACTATCTCTTTCTCCCTCTGTCTCTCTCAAATATCTTAGAATACTTTCACCTTTTCACTTAAATGTAGCACTTGATGGCTCCTCTTTGGCATATCTGAAGTGGCAGCACCAGTACTCTTGCCCTTTGGGGCCACTATTAGGTAAAATAACACTTAATAATATAAAATTTACATTATTAAGTAAAAAAAACCCATTATTTGAAAACAAGCACTGAAATACAGTGACAGTCAACCTCATAAGCAAACTGGCTTCTAAGTGACAGATAAGTAGGTAGAATATAGAGCATGGAGACACTGGCCCAAGGGATGATCCATTACCTATGTGGGACAGAATGGAACTATAAAAAAATTTGTAATGCTACTGGAAATGGGGTATAATTTAAAACCTAAAAATTATGTATTTCTGGAATTTTTTATTTGATATTTTCAGACTGCTGTGAACTGTGGGGAGCTGAAACTGGATAAGGGTGAACTATTGTAAATTGTTCAAATGAGGAGGGGAAGTGCTACATAGTGGGTGAGAATCCTGGCTGCAGGTCAGATGAACTGGTTTCTAGCCCCACTCTACCACTTAATAACTGTGAAACTTCCCAAAAAAAGTCATTAAATCCTTCTTTGCTTCAATTTCCTCATTTACCAACTTTATAAAGTTCAGACAAATAAATGGCCTAAGATGAAATTGTTAGGAAAGTGACTGGAACATAAGTCACCTATAAAAATTAGCGATTACTAAGTTATGATTGCTTTGATCTTGCTTCGTGATTATCATATCCCACTTCTTCTTTGCTTATCTTATAATATCAGTTCAAATGTGTCATATACCTTTCTTTCTACATTGTTTCACTATTAGGTATGATGTTTGCAATTAGTTTGAAATAAATATACTTAATCATATTAAAGAATATAATCTATTGCTAAAAACAGCTTTTTAGGAACAGATACCAAATAGTATAAAATGCTTTTATGGTCTTTGCTCATCTCATCGTGCTTTGTCCCTCTGGTATGATATATTTTATTAATGGATACCCTAAAATCAAAGTATCTTTAGTTCTGGAATAAGCTCCATTTGGCCATGTTATATTGTTCTTTTAACCCAAATGAATTTGATCCAGTAGAAGTTAATTTACAACTTAGAATTTTGTGTTTTCAGATTGAATTGGCCAATAGGTGCCTTTGTGTGTGTGTGTGTGTGTGTGTGTGTGTGTGTGTTGTCTTTACCAGTTAGGCTAACCGCAGAAAATAAAGTAGAAAATTTTCATTCTTCTTCTGTGTTTCAGTCTGATAATTATTTCTTCCTCAGTCATTTGACATTTTTCTTAACATGTTAAAAGAATTCACTCTTCCCCACTGTAGAACCTTTCTATCATTGTCGGAAACTTTAGCTCTTCCCCTCCATATGTATAGCCAACTCTCCACAACTGTGCTCCCATCTCTGGGTTATGTGTCAAACTCATTTTTCTACAGTGAGTATAAACTCTAGTGTGAATCCTAGTGAGGTCGCATGAAGGGCAGGTTGGATTTTATTCTATGCCTTTTATCAAGCAACAATGAAACCAAGTTGGGTACCCAGAAATTAGCCCAATGTCATGAGAAGAAATTCCATTTCAGTTGCTTGTAAGCATCTTTAGGAACCCATAATACAGTCTTCAAGGAACTACTGTCAGTCTGTGACTGTAGACAGAAAGCACACTTTAGGAGATCAGTGAAATTTTAAAGAAAATTTAAAGAAGGAAGAAATCCTGTCCAATCTGAAAATGCTTCACTGATGAGAGGGAGAAAAGAGAATTCACATAGTGAGAACACCATAGAAGTCCCTCTGACAGAACACAGCTACAATAGAACTTCATGGACAAGGCAAAGCTCAAGAATCATAGAATGATATAGACTTGTTCAAATTTGGGCAGTTGGGCCAGCCACCTAACTTATACTTGGTTTTATAAAATTATTTCCAGAAGACCAAGGCACTAGGGACAGTTTTATAAGCAGCACAGGGGAGGGCCCAGGAGGATGCCCTTTACTACATCCAAGGAAGACCTCTTTCTCCAATTCTTTCCCAGCCCAACAGTCATTGTTCCTGCAATGATAGGTGATTCACCATTTGGCTCTCCATCCATGTTCATTAGGTACATTGATGTTCTCATTAATCATGCATGGAAACTTAGGGGTCCACTTGCTACTCAATATTAGTGTCTCTTTGAGAACTTTCCCAAGATACATTTGGCCAGAACCTGTTAACCGGGGTAGTGGAAAGGAACACACTAGATCACAAGATATCCTTCTGTTTCTAAACATCTCTGGTTATTCAGAAGTCTCATTTATTCCAGTTTGTACCCACCAGAACTAGTTTTGGATCTGTAGAAAATAATCCTAAAATCTCCTTCCCAGGTTTTCAATATGCACCTGTCATGTTCCACTGAGTCTGCTTGGCTCCAAACTACATGAACCCTGCTTCTGTACCCACCTGTCACTACCACCCCAACCCCACAGTCTCCAGTTAAAATAGCAAATATGTGACTCCAACTCTTGCCCCTTCTAAAAAGCAAAAGAGGTAGGTGGAGTCATATAGTCTACTCAGAAGTTAGAAAGGGAGATTGGAGAAAGGACGGTTGACATAACACCACTTAGTTTACTTTTCAGCATCCAAAAGCCAGCTAGGCTAGCACAATCAATTTAAGATGTATACCTCCTAATTGCCAAAGAACATTCTGACACAATGCTTCAACATCAAAAATATTTCGACAAAATTTTAGTGGTTGAGAAAACTCATTTGAGTAGAACATACAGACTAAGTTGAGCAACCAATACAGTTACCCGACTCGGAATGTTCTGTAAATTAAAGATAGTCTTTTTAAGAATTGGTGTTATTACAGTTAAAGTGCATTCTATACAAAGGCATTCCAGAAGTCAGAAAATCCAGAAAGTTCTCAAAGAGACACTAATATTGAGGCATCATTACTGAAGGACAACACAGACAAACTTCCTAAAACAGAAAAGTCCATTTTCAAGGCCCCTATCTGTGCAGGAGATAGACTAAAAATGGTAAAACATCCACAGGTCAGAAGAGCACCCCCAGGAACACAGGGATGCAGAGATTCAAAGAAACACACAACAAGTATCGCATGATAAATCTGGTTACAGAGAAAGGCCTGTGTTGGCCAGATATTACTCCTGAGATAATAATGTTGCAAGACTCTCCTCCACTCAGGATGAAATCCCTTCTTTCCCACGCCACGTCACCAAAGTTGTTTTGCCTCTTTCTTCTCTCAGTTGGTAACTGCAGGAAGTTTGGAGTTATTTTCCTTTAAAATGTTGAAACAAAAAACTCTTTCTCTTCTTCCCCCATGACTGACAATTTATAAGAGAATGAGGGAATGGAGAAGAAAATGTGAAATAGCAAAATGCTTCAGTTCACCAAGTCACGACAGCCTGCTGAGAGCATCTCTTTAGTGACAAAGAAGAGACAGGTGCCCATCTATATCAAAGTAGAAATGTGGATAAGCAAATTAATTAACACACTTGGAACACATACTCAGTGCCAGGCATTGCTCTCAACACTTGGTGTGAATGAACTCACTTAGCCGCCTGGACGGCTCTGTGAGGTAGGCACTATTCTTATCCCATTTGACAAGAGAAGAACAGGCATAGAAAGGTTAAGCAATTTAACTGAGATCTCACAGCTAGTGGGTAAGTGGCAGTGCCAGGATTCTACCCCTGGCAGTCAAATCCCAGAGTCTGTGTCCCTAGCATTTTTCTTTTCTTTTCTTTTCTTTTAAGAGAGAGAGAGAGAATTTTTTAAATTTATTTTTTAGTTTTTCGGCAGACACAACATCTTTGTATGTGGTGCTGAGGATTGAACCCGGACTGCACGCATGCCAGGCAAGCGTGCTACTGCTTGAGCCGCATCCCCAGCCCCCCTAGCATTTTTCTATTGCCCCATGTGTGTGTGCTGCATGTCATGTGATGTGATAAGAGTCACATAAGGCTAATTGTGATTCAGTGGTGGCCAACTTTATCAACGACCTTCAACTTGTTCCTGCCTGGACAGAGAGTTCCAGACTGGCTCTTAATCCTACCTAGCAGCACCGGCACCATTCTGGCTCAAAGCCCAGGTCAAGGCCCCACAGAGGCTTTCCATCACCAGTGGGTGGCAATGTTGTCACACGGAGGCATCAGGGTGCAGTGAAAGCATGCACCCGCCCTCAAGGTGGAAAGGCCTCACCTTCTCATGAATAGACCACTCTGGGTGGCCCTGAGAATACCATTTCTCCATTGTCCCACAGCATCCAGGATAATTCTGCAGGAGAAAAGAGAGATTTAAATTAGGAAAATGCACAGGAAGCCATTATTTAAGTGATTCCTCCCTATCCTGCCATAATGTTCCCAGTGTTTTAATGATAAATTAGACATTTTTCTTCCCACTAGGGCATGTCATATTGCTTTTAGGGACAGAGATTCTACCACTTTTGTTCTCACACTTTTACTAGTCTATGGTAGAAGCTGAGTAAATGGATGAATGAAAAAATGTACCTTCTTTGGAGGCACTCAGCTCTATTCCAAGGAATAATCCAAGAAAGTTGTGTATCCTCTATAGTTGCCCCAAATAAATCCAGACTTCATGGATAACTCTAGGGTAGGTTCAGTCACCCAAGGAACCACAGAATAGAATAAACAAAAGAAAGCCTCTCAAATCATCTGGATTGGACTCTTAAAATTGCATTACCCAACCTGCCCTTACATCAACCTGGCCTTTCCACAAAAGGGTCACAACTTAAGCAGAACAAGTATCAAGCTGACCTCTAGATAACTTGGAAAAAATGGGCCTAGTAACTGATGCAGTTGAGGGCTTTCCCAAGGAACTCAACAGAACCTCAGGGCAGAGCCACTATATGAAGCTCTAAAAGAGGGGCCCACATTGGTGTAAAATCTGAGACACTCTGAAGACCCAAAGCATTGCTAACAGCCTGTCACACATCTGAAAACCCAGCATTAACACTAGGCCCTTGGAATTAGGTAGAATTTATGATACACAGAAACCAGTGAGTTTTTTTTTTTATCATGATTTCAAGAACATCTATCCTCCTGTTGGTAAAATTTTATAACAATTTAAAACATTTAACCAATTTAAAAAAAAAAAAACACTACTAGGGTACTTTTAAGGGTCAAAATTAGAAAAACAGATTTCTTCCCGGTTTGAGAACTTTGTGAAATATCAAGGACTTGTTAGGTATGTACATCCTAGGCTCTGTCTCTTCTTTAAATAGTAGCATATTACTATAAAGCTAAGAAGCCACACTCCTCATTCAACATTTAAGAAAAAAAAATACTTGGTTAACTTTGATGAATATTAACAAATGCAAATTCATCATAAAGAATTTAGAAAGTTCAAAAGAATATCCAAGATAGTCTAATTTTTGGTGCATGTTCTTTCAGTCTTTTATAGGTCATATATATATATAAAATTGCTTACAAAATATAATCTACATTTTTTCACATGCGACTTTCTTCTTATTTCTTCATGTCTCTCCCATTCTCTCCATTGTCAGTCTCTCTTCCTCTGTGTACGTTCTGGAATCCCTCTCTTCATCTCTCTTCTCCCCCTCCTTTTCCTCCCCCCCTCCCTCTCTCTCTCTCTCTCTCTCTCTCTCTCTCTCTCTCTCTCTGGTCTTGACATGTTGTCCAGGCTGGACTCGAACACATAGGCTCAAGTGATCCTCCCGCCTCGGCTTCCCAAGTAGTTGGGACTGCAAGCATGTTTCAACACACCAGCCCTGAAATCTCTCTTTATGCCCCTCAATGTCTGTTTAGCTTTCACCCGAAGAGGCGAGAGCCATCCAAAACATGCTCCATGGAAACAAAGATAGCCATATGATGAATAGGTGACAAATGGGTAGACAGTCATTGTTTAATCACATAGATCACTTGGATATCTTAAGTGCTTCTGTGACCTTCAGTGGAAAAGATTTTTCCTGCCCCCTCTTTTTAGATTCCATAAGAACCATCAATTGACCTTGTCTTTGAACCTGTTGTTTCTACACCACCCATTCTCATTTCTGCAGAGATTCTTTGTACCATTGTCAAGGTTAGGCCTGGTTGTTTGCATTGACCACAGTTTATACCAGCTGTTTCTACACAACTTCTAGGGAAGCTCCCTCATTTCCTATTTCCTAATCACTCTGTGGTTTAGAATCATATCCAGGGATAAAAGTAGCTCTGAAGTACATTCTGTTCTGCCTCTCAGGTCTTCCTTCTCCCTCCCCTGTGCTTGGCTCTGAGTTCCTACTATGCACGCTTCCTCGGTGGTCATCTAGCCATGACCGGCCATTTTCAATGACAAGAAGTTTATTACCTCTTGCAGTGACCTGGAACATTTTTTACAAAGCTGTAACAATTAAAATACCTTTCTGTTACTCACCCACTGCTATTTCTAACTGCTGAAGTTTCACAGAACAAGTTAACCACAAAGCTGATTGCATAAAAGTCCTTTGAAAAACAATCCTATTTACAATAGCATCAAAAAGAATAAAATACTTTGAAATATCAACCAAGGAGGCAAAAGACATACACTGAAAATTACAAAAAAAAAAAAAAAATCCTGAAAGAAATTAAAGAAGTTACCAATGAATGAAAAGAACCCTATGTTTCCTGAATGAGAAGACTTAATATATTTTTTATTAAAGCATTATAGTTGTACATAGTAGTTGGGTTCATCCCAACAAAATCATACATGCATGGAATTTAAGTTCCCATTGGCCCTCTTTTCCTTCCTCTCCTCCTTCCTCCATCCTCCTTCTTTTACTGATGTTCTTTCACTCATCTATTTATTTCTAATTGGTTCTTTCTACATATTCATAAAGATGAAATTCCCTGTGGTATATTTATATATGCACATAGCATGATTTTAGACTTAATATTGTTAAGATGTCAATACTACCCAAAGCAATCTGTACATCCAATACAATTCACAATGCCCGTCATGAATTTAAAGAAGTAAAAAAAGTCCACCCCAAAATTCATATAAAATCTCAAAAGACCTCAAATAGCTAAAACAATTTTACAAAAAAAAAAAGTTGGAGTACTTACACTTCCTGTTTTCAAAACTTACTGCAAAGCTAAACTAATCAAAATGAGTGATACTGGCATAAGCACAGGCATACAGATCAATGCAACAGAACTTCGACCTCAGAAAAAATCCCATATATCTATGGTTAACTGCTTTTCAACAAAGGCACCAAGACCACTCAGTAGGGAAAGAATAGTCTTTTCAACATATAGTGCTTGAGCAACTAGATAGTCACATGGAAAATAACGTACTTGGGCTCTTACCTCATACCATATTTAAAAATTAACTAAAAATGGATGGAAGACTGAAACATAAGACTTAGAATTCTTAGAAGAAAGTAGAGGGGAGCAATTAGGGAGGCTGAGGCAGGAGGATAAGTTCAACACCAGCCTCAGCAACTGAGGCCCTAAGCAACTTGGTGAGACTCTGTCTCAAAATAAAAATAAAAATAAAAAAGGCTGGAGATGTGGCCCAATGGTAAAGCAACTCTGGATTTAATCCTCAGTACCAAAAAATAAAAGAAGAAGAAGTAGGAGGAGGAGGAGGAAGAAGAGGAGGAGAAGGAGGAGGAGGAGGAGAAGAAGAAGGAAGAATAGGTGGAAAGCTTTGTTGACCCTGGATTTAGGAATTATTTCTTGGATACGGCAATAAAATCATGGTTATCAAAAGAAAAAATAGTCAAACTGAACTCTATGAAAATGTAAAATTTTGTTCACCAAAAGATAACATCAACAATGTGAAAAGACATCACAGAATGGAAGAAAATACTTGTAAATCATATATCTGATAAAGGTTTAATATCCATACATATAAAGATCTCCTATAGTCGGGCGTGGTGGCACATGCTTGAAACAGGCGGCTCCAGAGGCTGAGGCAGGAGGATAATAAGGTCAAAGCCAGCCTCAGCAAAAGTGAGGTGCTAAGCAATTCAGTGAGCCCCTGTCTCTAAATAAAAATACAAAATAGGGCTGAGGATGGATGTGGCTCAGTGGTTGAGTGCCCCTGAGTTTAATCCCCAGTACCCCCCCCCCCCAAAAAAAATCTCCTATAAACTCAACAACAAAAAAACAAACAATCCAATATAAAAGTAGGCAAAGGATCTGAGCAGACATTTCTCCCAAATTTAAGGGGAGATGACCAATAACACATGAAAAGATATTCTACAGTTATGTATACTTCATACTCATTAAGATGACTATTATCAAAAAACAAAAGCCACATACACACAAAAAATATATGGAGGTGAAGACATGAGGAAATTGGAGCCCGTGTGTACCATTGGTGAGAATATAAAGTAGTGTAGCCGCTATGAAGAACAGTATGGTGGTTCCCCCCCCCCAAAAAAAAAAATTAAAATGGATCATCATATGATCCAGCAATTCCCTTTCTAAGTATATACCCCAATGAATTAAAAGCAATGTCTCAAAGGGACTTGAACACCTATGTATATGGCAGCATATTCACAATAGCCACAAGGCGAAAATAACCCAAGTGTTCATCTGCAGATAAGTGAATAAACACCACCTGGTACATACATAGAGTGGAATGTTCAGCTTTGAAAGGAACAAAAATCATTATTACAACATTCCAGTGTGGATGAACCTTCCTGACATTATGCTAAGCAAAATCAGCTAACACAAAAAGACAAATATTGATGACTCTACAAATGTAAGATACCTAGAGTAGTCAAATTCACAGACTCAGAAAGTGGAATGGTGCTTTCCAAGGGCTGCGGGCAGGAAAGGATAAGAAGTTATTGTTTAATGGGTAGAAAGTCTTGGAGACTCTCTGGAGACAGGTGGTTGCGATGGTCACACAACAATGTGAATGTACATAATGCCACTGAACTCAACGCTTAAAAATAACTAACGTGGCATTGCCATTTTATGCTGTGCATATTTTATATACCTAAAGGCTACTATCATGACCTCACAGAATAATAATCTCCAGAGAAAACACATTTACTTCCTTCAACTCATTCTCATGTCACATGAATCAAGTTTCTTCATACCTCCTTCTGTTCACTCTCTGAATGCTCTCTAGCTACCTGTAACCCCATTTACCCCACAGATTATAAATTGCAGTATGACACTGACTGATATCACCTTCCTCAATGTGATACCTAGACTTTCAATAATGGAGCTAGTGTTCCTTCTAGCTTATTAAAACATCACTAATTCTTCTGGAGCTAACTATCCAACTAAAACCATAAGTTATTTTCTAATGTGCCACCACTAAAACCTCTTATTGGTTAGAACTCTCTCAGTGACTAAAAAGAAAACCAAAACATACACACAAGATCATGCAAATTGACTTCAGCAAAAAAATAATTGATTGGCACATGTAAATGTTCTAGAGATGATGGCGACACAAAATGCAGCTTGATTCAGAAGTTTAAATTATGTCACCAGGTCTCGGCTCTTTTCTTCTCTTGAGCCCTGTCTATTCATCTCCTTGTTTTAGTTTTCGTTCTTCTTAGGCAGGCTTTCCATCCATAAAATGTCACTAAGTTGGTGGAACAAAGAGTATTGTTCCCAACAATAAGACAAATATGTTTGCTTCTGGTGGACTCTAACTGGGTTACATCCCTGTATCAGTCTCTGCCCAAGATAATGCAAATATTGAGTGGCTTTGATTCAGGTCACATGTTTCGTCCCCCAAATCCAGTCAATCCAACTGAATTAGCCCATGGGCTGAATGTGGAACAGAGCTGGTCCCCAGAGAACAATCAGGTTCAGGTTAACAGCAGGGTGAGGGAAGCTTGAGCAACAAAACCCACAGGTTCAACCACCCTTCACTGTGTTTTGTGGACTGACATATGCTACCCTCTGCTTATCCCTATTAAATATGATTTATCTAACTACTCTGGCAAGATATTTTGTGGATCCTGATACTGCAAGGCAGCTCCACAGTGTGATGAATTTGCCTTTGCATGTGTTGTTGCAATCAGCCATATGCAGGTGGTAAGTACATTAGCATATTTTATATAAGCACATTACGTATAGACTCTGAAGACCCACAGTTCTAATGTCACCTTCAGCAGCTCCTTGGCCCACCATGACGATCTTCCTTCTGAGATGATGTTGCTAGCATCTTTGGATGTGCACATACAACCAGACACCAGGCCCATCTTTATCCTTAAGTTTGGGCCCTATTTCTTGTACCCAAAGATATTGGGAGCCATGTTAATAAAAGGTCTAGACTCCTGGGAAAGTCTTTAATAATGAGTTAATGTTCTATGCAACATATAGATTCATTATTAGCATCATCAACAAGAGATATTTTTCTCTACATGTCCCAGATTTTTCATCCTGTCTAAATAAGAGCCCTCACACCTCAAAAAAAAGTAGCACTAGTAGTAGCAAAGTGCATACAGTGTTTACTAAAAGCTGGATCCTATTCTAAAAGCACATAGGATTAAATATTAACTCATTATCTTCCTCACTACAACCTGATGTGATAGGGAGTCGTCATCATCATCATCATCTCCATTTTAAAGATAAGAAAACTAAGACCCAGAGAGGGTGACTGACCACATTCACACAGGTAGTCAGTACAAGCAGAACTTGTATCCAAATTGGCTCCAGAATTCTCACACTTACCACAAAAGTGGCCCTCAGCCTGAACACCCCTCACCTCCCACTTCCAGCCCCCACACAAACGTACAGGTGAGTCCACTTTTGGAAAAAAAAAATACCACGGAAAAATTAGAGCACTACCATCATACTTTAAAAAACAGTGAATCATTTTCAATAACAAGTTGCTCCTGGTACAGGTTAACTGGTTAAAAATCATTAATGAATTCTTAGAAATACTGGGACAGAAACCCAAACCAAAGGTTAGAAACCCTGCCAACTAAAGATCAATTCAAACTGAAAAGCATCTCTGGTATAATGTCCACATTAGGAGAAAAATACAATTTAGAAAAAAAAACAAAAATCACCTTTAATTTCACTCAAATGTTTTCTTCAGACAATGGCTATGCTTGAGGGGAAAAACATGCCTGGGAGAGAGTGCATAGGGGAGCTCAGCATAGCTTCTCACTAGGAGTCTCCTTATTAGAAAAGCTTGCTTCCCAGACCTTCCTGTGCTCCCTGGGGTCAGGCGATAGACAATAGAATCGTGATTCTATTGTCACCTTTGTATTCATTAGTTCAATCATGCACAACAGTATAATACAGGTGGTGACTCAACTCAAAGGAGATGCATACCACCCTATTTCTTCTGGAGCAACCACCTCATAAAACTCCAGGGATGACAGGAAGGGCCTTTCATGAAGGTACAACACTCAGAGATGAAACAGGATTCCAAGGAAATGCGCCAAAAGTGAACAGGTGAATACCAGCAGGAAGCCGTTACCTAGGTCACAGCTGAAGGAGAATGAGAAGGGATGGTTGTCATGGAGCCCAGTGAGAGCTGGCTCTGCAGAGGAAGAACTCCTGGCAGGAGGGACACTGCTACTGCAAGGCACTGGACTGGGCAGGGTGGAGAATTGCCCTATCTTTCTGTCTCTTCTTCCATCCCCACCCGTCTCCTGCCAGTGCCTCCCCTGGACAAGCCAGAGTGTGAGAGGTCTGGGGATAGTCAGTCCTCGGGATGCAGAGCCAGACAGGGAAGCATTCTGAGTGCATCTAAAAGACAGAGAATGAGAAGCACAATGCCTCTCTCAAAGGTGGGTAAACTGAGTCACTGAGAAGCCAAGTAACATGCTTCAGATCAAAAATGAAACACAGAGCCAAGATGAGGGCCCCCTTCCTCCTCTGGTCTTCACTGATTTTAAGAAACCTGAATGCCTGGAAAGAACCACAAAATCTCAAAGAATGTCTAATCCCTCAGTTTCCTTTCCAACATACAGTGGTGTTACACTAGCCCACCTTCCTCCAGAAGTGGTGAAGGTGCCGTGATCAGGATGACTCAGCTGCCTGCCCAGATTCACTAGAAAGGTTTAATGAATCACTCGTGTGGGTGATGATTTAGGTGGTTATTCTTTGAACAAACTCACTCCACACACTAACAGGGTGTCTGTTTGATTCATAAAGGTGACTCATCTGAAGAAGTTGACCTGACCATGGTCTATCAGGCAGCATCTAACGGAGATGTCAATGCTCTGACTGCAGTGATCCGGGAAGACCCCTCTATCCTAGAATGCTGTGACAGCGAAGGTAAGATCTTTACACACTTTAAATCTAGGCTGTTATGTTTTATCCTTTTGAGATGATGTTTTGAGATAATTATGATTTTTAAAATTACTTGTGACAGTACACTTTGGTACTGCAGGATATATTTATTACCTGTGGCTATGTGCAAATACTGCAATATTTCTTTTAAAAAAGGTGTTAGAAAGCTTCAAATTCTTTTACATCATCACTCAGAATAAAGTCAGCTAGTTTATTTCCTTTATCTTCATATGAGTGAGCAAAGCAGAGAGGCCAGATAGTTCTAACAGGGTCATGGAAAGAGTAGGTTACCTTTAGTGGCAATGGATGTTGGAAAAGTGTAACTCTTAGAGAGCAAGGACTTCGGCTTCTGGGAAGAGGGAGTGAATGTGCTTTTCCCTCTATCCTTTCTGGTAAGTACAACTAAAGACCCTGGACATTATAAAACTGTATAAAATCAACATAAGAAAACTCTGGAAGATGGAGAGAAAATGACAGACTGGCTAAGACCTTGGAGCCCAAGGAATGACATGGTGGTAAGTACTCTGGGTTTCCTTTTGCCTGGTACATTCCAGAGTTGGAGTTGAAGAAACTGGCAACCCAGAAATGTCAACAGACACAGACAAAAATGTCCCAACAAAAATTTGCATTTTCTAGCCAAACTACCAGGAAAGAAACAGCTTAGCAAGACAGAAAACTTTTTAGACAATGATGGTTCTATTCCAGCCATCACACACACACCCCACCCCCCCACCACCACCCCCACCCCCCCACACACACCCACTGTGACCCCAGGCAACTCACTCTAGCAATGACCAAGTGAGGAGCCTGCACCTCCACTCCCACCTGGCATTCAGGTCCCCCTTCCCTTACCTGCAGTATGATGTCAGAGGGAGGCCTTGTTGAAAGTTAGGACCTCAAATAGCACCCAGTAATAATCAAGAGTCCTCTTCAGATTTCAATGGAAGCCAAGCAGGGAATCTGGATTTATAACCCCACTTTACCATAATGAGATGTCACCCCCTTTTCTTCCTTTCTTTGAGCAGTGTCTAAGGAAGCCTGCTAAAATAGAGTGAATCAAGAATCACATAATATCCAATATACCAATATATGTAAATTATTTGTCCTACTAAGAAACAGGAAGATCTCAAATCAAATGAACAATCAATAAATGCCAATAAATCAAACAATGTTAAGAGGGAACTTTATATACTAAAACAGATACATATGTTAGAAAAGAGAGGAAACCTCAATCATTAATTAATCTAAGCTCTCACTACCACAAGAGCTTAGAAAAAGAAGAGCAAAATGGTTTAAACCCAAAACAAGCAGAAGGAAAAAATAATAAAGAGAAAAGCTGAAACTGAAAACAGAAAAACAGAGAAAATCAGTAAAATAAAGGACTGGTTCTTTGAAAGATAAAGTTGACAAACTTCTAGCAATACTGCCAAACAAAAAGTAGAAGAAGATACAAATTACCACCTTCAGGAATGCAAAATCAGGAGATCACTGCAAACCCTGCCAGACATCTAAATGGAAGAAGGAAATACAACAAACAACTACACACATAAACTTGGCAATTTAGTTAAATGGATCAATTCCTCAAAAAATAACAAACGGTGGAAAAATGAAGATTGGATTTGATTAGTGCATGTTCTATGCATGTTTGGAAATATCACACTGAACCTCATTACTATGTACAATTAATATGTGCTAACAAAATTTTCACATAAATTGCCATAATGCAACCAGTAGAAAATTGGTGATTTGAATATTCCTTTGTAAACTCTTTAGGAAATTGAATTTACAATTTTTAATTTCCCCAAAAAGTATATCTTTAGGCCAAGATGGTCTTACTGGAGATATCTACAAACTTCTAAAGAACACTCTGCATCAATTCTACAGAATGTCTTCCATAATACAGAACAAGAGAACAATACAACTTGTCAGTTATATTTATGAGCTAATATTACCTTTGAATCAAAACCAGACAAAGACTATATTTAAAAAAACTCTACAGACCAATAGTTCTCATGAATGTGAATTCAAAACTCCTTAATAAAATCAGGGTAAACTAAATTCAATTATATATGAGAAGAATTATACACAATGATGGGAAGAAGGCAGAGTTCCTAGAGCTATAAGTCTGGCTCAATATTTAAAAGTCATCATAATCAACCAAGTTAACCAAATAAAGAAGAAAAAGCATGTATTCAGTTCCATTGATACAGAAGAAGCTTTTGACAAAACTTAGTACACATTCATAATTTAAAATCTCAGAAAAATAGGAAGAGATGAGAACTTTCTCAATATGATAAAGATTATCTACAAAGCCAGGTGTGGTTGAATGAGACTGTGTATCAGCTACTTAGGAGGCTGAGGTGGAAGGATAATTATTTCAAAGTTGGGGTGAGAAATGTAGTAAGATCCTGTCTCTTATTTTTAAAAAAAAAATCTACAAAAAAAACCCAGAGCTAATATTTTACTTTGTGGTAAAAGTCAAATGCTTTGATCCCAAAATCAGGAACAAGGCATAAATTTTCACCTCAGGCATGAATGTCCACTTTCACCTCTCATGTCCAGCCTAGTGCAATACAAGCATAAAAAGGCAGTTCAAAAAGTTAATGAAATGAAATAAAAGACACATACATTGAAAAGAAAAATGCAACCCTCATGTATTTGTGAGGTAATTTTTATATGTTCATTGGTTTGTGTTTTCTCTTTTGTGAATTGCTTGTATATATGTGTATGTGTATGACTTTTTTTTCTCTTAGGTTGTTGAATTATTGACTTGTTCTTTATTAACTTTAGCAAATAATCTTTTCTTGGTTTTATAAATTAAAATATCTTCTCCCAATATGTGGCCTTTTCATTTTGTTAATGCTACTTTATATAGAAGGTACCAGAATTTTCTTATGTAGAAATTTTAAATTTGAATATAATTGAATTTAATAAAATATTTCCTGGGCTGGGGCTGTGGCTCAGTGGTAGAGCACTTGACTAGCCTGTGTGAGACACTGGGTTTAATTCTCAGCACCACATATAAATAAATGAATAAAATAAAGGTCCATCAACATCTAAAAAAATATTTTCCTTGAAGTTTATGATTTTGATATCTTCTTCAGTAAAGTCTTGCCAATCTTGAGGTTAGAAAGATATGAGTCTATATTTTCTTTTAGAAATTTGTTAAATTTTGCTTTTCATATTTGGTCTCTAATCCATCTGGACTATGTTAATATATGGTATGAAGTCTGGATTTTATTTTAACTTATCCCTCTGTATCACCAGTTGGTCAGCACCATTTATTAAATAATTTTTTTCTTACTGATTTGTATTGTCCCTTAGTCACACACTTAGTTCCTTTGTAGGTTGGAATGTTCCTGAGGCTCACTTTTCTGCTCTGTTGATCTATTCATTGTTTCAGCAATCAAAACTTTATAATAATTCTTGTCAGTTAATAAGGCAATTTCCCTCCCTTTGTTTTACTTTTAAAGTCCTGGGCATAGGGGGGCTTTTGTTGTTGTTGTTGTTGTTGTTGTAATTACTTTATTTTTCGAGATAAATTTTAAGATTTTTTTTTCAGGTTTCACAAAAGCTTAGTTGAATTTTTACTGCAATTGCACTAAATTTATAGGTTCAGTTTCATGAAATTTATATTGAGTTTTCCCTTTGTAAACATTGTATATCTTTCCATGTTTAGTTCTTCTTTTATATCATCTAATAAGTTTAATGATTTTGTCCACACATCTTGGTCTTCTTCTGTTAGATCTATTCCTAAGAACCTTAGTTTTTGGTTGCTTGCTTTGTTAGTTTTCCCATTGCTTTTGTTTATAGGAATTCCTTTAATATGTTTTTAATTTTATATACAGCAACAATGACGTACTCTCTTATTTGTTCTATTTTGAGTTTGTATGTTTGTTTTTTGTTTTTTTGTTTTTGTGTGTGTGTGTATTTTTGTATTATCAATAAGGACAGTCAGGAATGTCAACTTAAAATAAATTTTGGAGTCCATTTGGAAATGAATCTTCCATCAATTCTCTCTAAACCTCAGAGATAACTCAGTAAGATTATCTTAAAATAAGAAATGTTCAGTAATCATTCAGCTATTCATTTGTTAACATCTTCTATGCACTAGGTGTAGTGGTTGTCTCCCAGGATATAGTGATGAGCTCAAGGGATGTGGTTCCTTCCCTTTAGAACTTACAACTCAGAGGATGATTACCCCCCAAAAATGCATACTTACAAAGTTTTAAAAGAGTTATTAAAGAAGAACAAAGGATGATAAGAAGAGCCTGTAACTTGGAGATCTAGTTGGCGGGGTTCTTTAAGGAAATTTATATATAATCTAGGATCTCAAGACAGATAGAGCCGGGTGTGGTGGTACACACCTACAATCCCAGGGACTAGAAGGCTGAGGCAGGAGGTTCACAAGTTCAAGGCCAGTCCTGGCAACTTAGTGAGACCCTTTTGCAACAAAAAATAAAAAGGACCAGAGATGTAGCTCAGTGGCAGAAAGCCCCTGGGTTTGATCCTCAATATTTGGGATAAAAATAAATAAATAAAATCATTAGCCAGACAAGGAATGTAATTTTTTGAAAATAATATTCAGGAATTCTTTAGTTTTATATACTGACTATTTCAGATTCAAAATGCTTCAATAATTTCCTTTTCAACATGTTCTTTTTTGTCCCAGTAGTTATAACTACCACTTGTTGACAGGAACAAGGGAGGAAGGGAGGGAAGAAAGGAAACTCACCACTATTTTAAGACACAGCACTTCATTGCTGTTTCCACCCAGCACAGATGCCTGAAAGAGTTTTGGAAGGGAGAGATTTAGGAAGAAATTGGGTTGCTGGATGCAATCTTTCTGTGAGAACATCCTGGGCTATTCCTGCCCTCAGGGATCTCTGAGGGTCAAAGCTTGCAGTTCATCCAGGGAAGAATCACAATTCACCATGAATCTCGTCAAAAGACATCTGAACAAGTCTGAGTTGGAGGAGGGCCTGTGTCTGGTGTTTGGTTTCTTTTGCTTAAAGGAATGTGAAGCACCTGGATTCCACCTCACCAGCTGGCTGGTTCCAACAGCCCTGCAAAGTTCATCAAAATGTGGAATTTCATCTCTGTTTTTACTCAGGAAGAAAATATACTTAAAAATCAAATACCGTTGCCTATATTGGTTCTGAAAACAGAGAAGTATTCAGTACAAGTAGATCCTTTTAGTTAAAATTTCTATAACCTAAGGCTGAGATTCCATCACTACCTTCAATAGAAGTATACCTGGCTGAAGCTGCTTTCTACACATTTCCAGATTCTGCATTGTCCAAGCCAAGTCAGGATAAACCTGCCTATTTGATTCCAAATTATGTGGATTCCTGGAACAACAATAAGTAATTTTTCTCATTGTCCTCAAATGTTTTAATCAATTATGCAAAATTACAGAAGATTGAAAAAAAAGTCAGAAAGAATAGTTTACATAAATGTAGCAACAATCTTCTTCATCTCTCTTCAATCCCACACAGTTCAACAGCTGGGTTTGTGTTACAAAGAGCAAAATAGAGAGGCAAATAAAATCTGCTCATTAATTTCATAAGTCGAACATTTTTAAAGGCCGTTGAAATGTCTCATTGCAGGATGTACACCCTTGATGCATGCGGTTTCTGGACGCCAAGTGGACACGGTGAAGCTGCTTCTGAAGATGGGAGCCAACATTAACATGCAGGATGCTTATGGCCGTACAAGTTTATGCCTGGCAACCTACCTGGTATGGACTCGAGTGGGTCAAAGGGACTGAGGAACAGGGTGTGGATTAATGCAATAGAACTTGAAGCTTTACCTTAATCATCTTCAACATTGATATCACCACTTTGAGTTCTTTCATGGATTTAATTCATTTAGGATCCTCCAAATGTTAAGATAAAAGGAATGTTATAGAAGTAATGTCACCGCTCGAGAACATTCCTTTCTGTTTTAACAACATCAGAATCTCTCTTGGGACATTCTGGACACTTCCAAGAACAGTGTCCATAAACAACTCGGAAAAGGTGGTATTGTTTTGAAGATTC